AGACTACCTTTTACTTAGTAATTTAGCTTTCCGTTAATGTTTAGCTACTTGAGCTTTTAGTTAGACTACCTTTTACTTAGTAATTTAGCTTTCAGTTAATGTTTAGCTACTTGAGCTTTTAGTTAGACTACCTTTTACTTAGTAATTTAGCTTTCCGTTAATGTTTAGCTACTTGAGCTTTTAGTTAGACTACCTTTTACTTAGTAATTTAGCTTTCCGTTAATGTTTAGCTACTTGAGCTTTTAGTTAGACTACCTTTTACTTAGTAATTTAGCTTTCCGTTAATGTTTAGCTACTTGAGCTTTTAGTTAGACTACCTTTTACTTAGTAATTTAGCTTTCAGTTAATGTTTAGCTACTTTAGCTTTTAGTTAGTAGCTATAGACTACATTTTACCTATAATTTAAACTAATTTTACTTTCTTGACAAATATATTTTAGATAGTGTTGAGTTGGCATTTTGCTTTAGCTTTATTCATTTTTAAGCCAGTATTTAGCTGTTTTAGCCAGAATAGGCTTTTATTTTTTAATCTATTGTTTTGGTTCTTTCAGCTTTAAGCTGGCTGGCACTTTGCCACTTTTAGCAYTTTGCTACTTTTAACTTTYAGGTTGCAATTCTTTTGATTTTTCAGCAATTCTTTTCTAAGTCAGTGTTTAACGTTTACACTTCATTTTTACAGAAAATGCAGTTTCTCTCCTTTTTCTATTTGCCTTCAATGTGATGTTATTTAAACCAGGTCAGATATTATAAAGCACATCAAGAAGTCATATTTGAATGTTTTAATTCATCCATCAAAGACTTTCTTCTCCTCTTTCTAATTTTGAATATTTTTGTTGCTGTAATTTGAAACACATATAATTTCAGAATAAAAGACATATATTAACAATAACATAAACTGTGCCGTCTGCATATATTTCTTCAGAAGTAGCACCGTTTCACCCTCTGTCCCTTGTGCTCCTTCTGAAGGTGGATGACAGTTGTTTTACAACAGCTTCAAAACTGTGTGTCACAAAGGGGCAAATATAGCCTCCCCATCCTGAATAAACTGCAATTATCTTGTGTTAAAATTGCAAACATCTGTCGTTGAATATGTTGCAACTTAAACCACATAATTCTTTTTTCACCCAGCATCCTCTGCAGCTCATTCATTTAGAAAAAATATCCAGGCAAATGGCTGTCACCTCTCAGAACATCAAAAGGTGCAACRTGTTTTATCAAACTATCCTTTTGCAAACATGATTATAAAGGAAATAAAGTTTTTACTGATCAGTTTTGAACAATATGTAGAAAATAGTCACAAATTTTGAATATGATACTGACAACACTTTGGAAAAAACATTTATCGTGTTACAACACTACATTTACGTAATTACACTAATTACTATTTGTTTGTCTTTTCTTGCTGAAGCAGCAGATTTCAGTTCATCCTTGTTTGGTTCTCTTCTTCACTGTGGATCGCAGAGACACATCAGGACAGCAGCTGAGCATAAAACATCATGAGGAATATTTGTCCTGCTGAAATGTACAGAACAGAGGAT